AACTGAAAGGATGAGCAAGAATTTGCCAGGGAAGAGGATGAAAGGGAAAAGGAAAGGAACAAGCATTTCAGGCAGAGGGAATATATGCAAAGACAGAACTCCTAAAGAAGCCTCGCACAAACACGGAGCAGTAGAAACTGAGTGTACCTGAAAAAGAGAATGCATGGGAGAAGGGGCAGGAGATAAAACTCAAAAGGTAGGTAAGAACACATATGGTTCCTGCAATCTGATTGAGAAATCTGGACTTGATCCTAAGGAACAGAATTGAAGAAATTAAAGAGAAGGTTGTTTCAAACTTTGATGATAAAAGAACTAACCTAAATTCGTACCTGCACTGAAAAATATAGAAGACAGGTTGATTCTAGAAACATTTCAGAAATTGATTCAGTAAGAATTAGAGGCCAAATGAATAAAACGAATATGTGGTAAGAAAGAAAAGGGAGTTGAGGATGGCTCCGTGGTTTCTTGCTTGCACTATTTCAGGATAATGACAAAATAACCCATACAGGGAATACAGACGGAGGCTCGGAGTGGTATTTTCATTTGCCTGCCTGCTTGTTTTCTAGATGAAAATAATGAGTTCAAGTGTTTTATTTTTTTTTCATTTACATATAGCAAAAATCACTCTTTCGGTATACAGTTCTATCAATTTGGCAAGTGTACAGGCATGTAACCAACACAATCACTACACAGAGCGGCTTCATAACCCCCCAAAAACTTCCTTATGCTGCTCCTATTAGCCCTTCTCCCACTCTTAAAACCTGGCAACCACTGATTTGTTTTCTATAGCCATAGTTCTGTCTTTTCCTGAATTTCACATAAATGGAATAATAACAGTATGTAGTCTTAATTGGCTTCTTTCATTTAGCATAGTGTATCTGTGAGTCATCTATGTTGCTGGCATGTATCAATAGTTTATTCCTTCTTATTGCTGAGTAGTGGTCTGTTGTACAGATACATCACAGTATATCCATTCATTAATTGAAGGACATTTAGGTTATTTGTAGTTTAGGGCAGTTATGAATAAATTTGTTATAAACATTCATGTTCAAGTTTTTGTATAAATATAAGTTTTCATTTCTCTCAAGTAAATATCCAGGAGTAGGATTGATGGATAATATGACAAGCATATGCTTTGCATTTTATAAGAAATTCTAAACTGCAAAGTAACTATACCATTTTGCACTCCCATTAGCAACGTGTTCCTGTCCCTCTCTATTCTGGCTACACTTCCTACTGTTACGATTTTGTTGTTGCTAACTGTAGCCATTCTAATGATTACAGTGACTTTAATTTTAAATGTGTTTAATTTATACTACGTAGGTTGCATATAGAAGGTTTCAATTTATAGATGATTAAAAATGAGTCAAAACTCAGGAAAAGAGTATTGATTGATCATCCAAGATTATTAGAGCTATGAAAGAAAGATGACCAAAGGACAGATCTTAAAGATCTTCACATTTAAGTGAAAGAGCAAAGGAAACAACAACAACAACAAACTAATCAGAAGAAAATAAGAGTCATGAAAAAGAAGGTAACTCGAAAGATAAAGGAGTTTTTCAGTTGTAGTAGC